TAATTATAATTATAATAAGAGAGTTGTATAATATATAAAATTAATATGATTATAATAAATATACTAATATACTACAGTAAATATATTTTCTTATGAATTTAGTATTTTTTGTCATATAAAGATATATTACACTATAATATATTAATTTATTATAAAGTAATTATAATTAAATAAAATAAAATTATATTTAATTCTAATTAAATTTATTATAATTTAATCTAATTAAAATTATAATTAAACTGTTTACAATTATATTCAAATGTTAAACTAACATTGAATTAAAATTTTACGCGAAAATTACTGAAGAATAAAGTTTCATTATCAGCTTTCTTTCTAAACTTTGCTGGAAACTTCTTATTATTTATATCTTCGTATTTTTGACAAAAATTAATATGAATTCACCAGAGGACGACAATTAAAAAGATTTGTTAAAAATCATTTTGAGTAAACACCTCAAATACAAATTTATATATTATCACGTGATTCCAAATAATCTCGAAACATTGGTTCCATCGTTATTGCCGTATGTACACTATATAATATATATTATATAAGGAATGACGTGACTTTCATGGAAAAAATTAGAAGTTTGCCTGTCTGTCACTTCTTATCGCTTGATTTATCAATATTGATCGACCAATTAGCGGCCGAGTGAACCTATTAAATGTAAATCGGATGACAGCTAATCACGAGAATAATTATAGTCACTTTAACGTCTGTTCGATTACGGCATGTAACATCACGCCACAAGGAGGGCGATAACGCTTGTCCGTGTCGAAATTCGGCGTTGCGTTCGGGGTAGAGAGTAGATTATAGATCTTTTGTGTAGAACAGAGAAAAGATTAAGAGATAACGAGCAAAGCGCGAACGAAACTATAATACTTCTATATCATTCTATTTTCCATCTTTGCGATCAACTTGTGATAATAACTGAATAATTTTATTATCGATTACTTGTATATACAATACACTATCATGCAGTAAAAAAGAAGAACATTCTCATAGAAATCTGTTACGAGGTTTGCAATTTTAAAAAATGTGGCGCGATTTCAAATATTCTAATAAACTGTAATCGCAGTATGAATAAGTGATATTAAGCAACAAGTACCAAGGAGCTAAAAGTACTCGTAACATGTAGTTTTGAAAACAATGACAGTTTTTTTTTGAACGAAGAAGCTTTTTCTTTCAAAGAAAAGCCTCGAACAATGAAAAGTTGCGAGCATTCGAATACATATTCCATGATTCAACGATTTAAATGATTTTGACACGGTGCCCAGAAGCGCGAAAATCTCGCAACGATTCGCGATCAATAGTCCGATCCAACGAGTTTACCTTTCCAGCAACCGTCATTTTATCCGTGGATTGTGGAGCATAGATCCTTCTCACGTAACAAGAATCGAATAAGCGGCTCGAACGGGAGCGGCTTGCACTTTTCAATAGCCGGTCGGACAACGGCGACACATTTCCTGACAGATCACCGCGCACCAACGAATTGACCGCTAGATCACGTATCACTGGAACCCTGGAAATATCCCGCACCGTACATATACGTGTATCTACTTCTTGATCACGTCGCGCTGACCGAAGAAGCGCAACTGCGCGTGGTGGACGCGAGTGCGGGCACTACGGACACGGCGAGTCACGAGACTCATCGGATCGCGATCGCTACAACGACCAACGGATGAATCCGGACCATCCAGTGAATGGAGCAGTCGCACGCGATGAGACCACCACCACTACTGCCATTGCTACGTATCGAGGAACGAGGTGGCGCTGATCGCTCTCCCTTCCCCACGTTGACCCACAATAGAACTTCGCTCGACCGTTCTCGTGATTGTCGCAGCGGCCACATGATTTCCACCTGTCAGGACCGTGCGTGGAAAGGGAGACAACTCGGAATTTCATATCGATTTAATTTTCGGAAAAAGGTGCAAAGTTAAAAGAAAAGATGCAAAACGTAGTATCTCTGATAGCACAGATCTCTAGGGGACGTCCAGAGGATGCTGTATACGTCAGTATTTTATTCGAACATCCTAAGGACATCCCCAGGATATATCCCAGATAAAGTGTGCTATTAGGAATAGTAATCCTAATATGAGCTATTCTCGATAGCTGATCTTCTAAAATATCGATATATATTATGACTATATCTCGAATCGTATAGGACAGATCTTTGGATCCTAAAGATATTCAGAGGACGTTCGATCCTATGTTCTCTGAACATTCTAAGGACATTCCTATGACGTTTCTTGGATAAAGTGTACTGTGTGGATATCGACGTGAATATCGTTTGCTGCAAATTAAATTTATATTACAAGACATTTTTTCTTTAAAAATAGATGTAAGATGCATACCTTTCAAAACATAATATTATCTTTTTTTCTATAAATTATTTTATAAAACAATATCTCTATTTTTCGTTTAACGTGCAAATAGGTATTTCTGTGTAAAAATTGCGCTTTAAAAATTAAAAAAACTGTTAATAGCGTCAATTTGCCCCGGTCTCCCCTACTTGAAAAAAGATTCTTATTCCGATTATTCGAGTTTTGAACTTTATGTTACACGCATCTGATTCTTATCAATAATTTGCAATATAAGTGCGCAGAAATAATTAAAAATTAATAAGTTATTCGTTCAATTGGACTTTTACGTTTCGTCACTTTTAAGGCATTTCTCAATCCTGCTCAAATCATGCGACAGTTGATTAGAATTCAAGACTTCCTGCACGTTTTCTATCTGTTATATTTACTTCGCCATCTTCCCTGTTCTTCTCCCCTCTTTCATCATCGTTTCAAAGTATCATTGCCTTTTCTGTAAATTACGAAACAATTGCATTTTGTGAATATTTATACATAGTATATATTTTCGTTACAAAAATGTTTCTTTAGGCTGAAGAGACTTCCGCGACGACGAATGTACGATTGACGTACCAATTGATTTGAACGCTGCCGCGAGAGAAGAGAAGGCTCAGG